AGAGATTATTTTATAACTTGCCACTTAACCACACTACATTACTATTTCATTTGGATAACATTATGCTATTTCATGTCATATCAATGAAGTATTTCGAAAGCTGGATAAAACTGCCCCTAAAGGTTGTACTTCCTAAATGTTTTTATTTGCATAGAGGATCATGTTCATGGAGATTAGCGTAGACATGATGACTCATTAAAAAATAAATAAAAAAAGTGGGTTAATTATAGTCAACATTGCCATTTTCCCTATCAATCTTGCTATGACTTATTTTCATGATATTGTTCATCCTTTGTGTAAACTAAGTCAAACATAAACCAAATCAAGTTTTGGGCTGCAATGATAAATGGCCAAGTTATTTACTTCTGTGAAGGGAAGCAGTTCCATTGATCTCATTCTGTTTGTTATTGATTTTTCTTTTTATCTTTTCTGAAGCTGTGAAACATTTCTGTTGCTAGCATTTGCAGCTTTTGGGTTCTCATAAGTCTATCAGTGACAGTGGAGATAATATTTTGACAGGCTGCTTGTGATTACGCTCATAACTAGCTCACAGAGGATGAATTGCGTACAATATTCTCCTGTTTCAGAGACAGCCCAAATGACTTTGAACAAATTATTTTGTTAGTAGCTGTAATGATGGAACAACCCGACTGAATTTCCCCTCTCCTTTACTTTTTCTTTTTCCTTTTTCCATTGGCATTTCAATAGTTTACTTGCTAAATTAAAATAAGATATTGTTTGTCTTTTGTTTATGCTTTTGTTTATGTTTGTTTTCACTGTGTAAAGGTTAATTATTAAGTTATATTTGAATTAATCACAAAAAAGACAACGAAACTCTTCCTTGCTAATAGAGATTGTTGTGATATCTGATGCTAGATGGTGGAAAGAATAGGAGGACAGCGGGAATTGTTAATGCATTTTAATATATATGTTGCAGGAGAAGAAAAAAATAAAATAGAAATATATAATCTGATGTTAAAGTTTTCCTATTTTCTCACAGCAGATCTTGATCGATTGTTAGGGATGGCTAAGATATAGCGATAAATTCTCTACATAAAAACATGGGCTTTTAAGCTACAATGAGCCCAAATGACATTTATGAACAGATTGCTATCCAAGCAACTTGTGTCTAGTATAATTGACTTGAGTTGGAGGACTCTTCAGTATCCAACTGCTTAGCCAAACTCCAAAACAGTATTTTTATTTGAAGAGTGTACAACAACAACAACTGGCAGGTTAAGTGCTCTCCTGCTACAAAAAAAAAATAAAAAAATTTGTGGAGTAATAAGAGAAAAATACAGTGAAATCATTAAATTTACCGGCTCTCTGCTTTGGTTGGTGAAGATATCTAACCTTAAAACAAGAAATAATTAATAATAATTGAAAGAACAGGTTAAAGTCACTAAAAAAGCGTCTAAAGTTGATCTAATCGTCTGATTGTTGTAGCTCAGAAGTCCGGGACAGCCCTAAATACTGCCGCATGTCACAAAGCTTCTCTGCAAAACCAGCTGAGTTTGAGCTGACAGTGAACAGCTGTAGTAGCGGCAGAAAGTCCCGGCGTTCTTTCAGATCTGACGATCTGCCATGCGCTGTCAGATCGGCAAACATTGTTCTAAAACACAGGCATGCACATGCGCAACAGAGTTATTCCCACATTGAATATAAGCAGCAGTCTACCGACCAGCAAAAACACGTTTATCTTGACTTTTAAAAAAGAAAATCAGCTTTGATTATACTATTATTTCTTGGATGCAGAAGTGGCCAGACATGATTGAAGTTTCTGGGATGTTGGGAGAAGAAGCCTAGTAGTAAAGTTTGGCTAGATTTTTTTAATGTTTAAAGTCATAGAAAACATTGACTGTGGTTTATATTGTGACTCAGAATTCATTTATATTAGATAACATCTTAAGCGTACGTCGATCTGACAGCACATGCTGCTCTGACAGAACACAGGATACCCATGGCGTTCATCTCTGTTCAAAGACGTGTGTTTACCAAGCCTGCTGGATGAAGATTTTATACTGTACAGATAAAAAAAAAAAAAGCAACAGATATCTCCAGCTACACTTACTGGTTTTTATCTATCTCCTCTGACAAAAGAAAGCTTTGTGGCTTTAGTTTTCTTCTGGTGCTTCTGCTGTTTTAATGTTTTCCTTTAACTTCAGAGTTTCTGCTGGCACAAATTCTGTTAAAATGGGGATGAGAAATGATTTATGTCAGACACCCGACAGAAGAAAAATAGGATCCTAATTAAAAAAAATCCTTTACGATTGAAAACTGTTCATCTCTATTTTACATTTCATCATAATTATAAAAAAACGACGATAAAATTAGGAGTAATGTTGCAATTAATATTTGAGTGCAGAGATAATGTGCAGTCATAGCTCATTTAGGTATTTTTTTGTGGAGACATCGCTTTATGTCAAATTGAGGTCATGTTTTCTTTCCCTATCTTATTGTAAAGTCTGAGTCACACCCTCTGTATAAATATATAAGATTTAAAAGCTTCCATCTACTTTTATTGTTCACATACAGTCAGCAAAATCGTCAAAACAAACATGCTCATTAACGTCTTTTAACAAAATGACTTGAATGAATCATTGGTAGCAAATGCTGCATCACTCTTGGGTTTTGTGACCAATACGGAAAGATCAGACGATTGCATTTAATCCTGTAAAGGGAGAATTTATATCACTTAAAAAGTAGTAAAGCACACATTTAAATATGTGGAAAAACAACAGATTTTTTTTTTGCTCTGGCATTCTCCTTTGCAACCCCTTCGAATAACTAAGCACTTAGAAGACTAATCCCTCAGGATTATGGTTTGACTTCAGATATTTAGCCGACATTGTTTCGTATTAGATGGATGTTGGCTGTGCCTTCTGGATGACTAATGGCTCCATACTGATGCATTATTCTGCGGCTGTTAGAAAACGACAAATGTCAGATGATAAACTGCGAGTCTGCATGAGCAAACTTCTCTGTCATGTGGGTTTTATTCAACGAATGGATTTCCAATTGGACTGGACGTTCATTCCACCGTGCCCTTAGGCACACTGTAAACACAGTGGCTGGGAAGTGCCTTCTCATGCAGATTGAAGCCATTTGTTAGTTGGTATATTTTTCCATAGCTGGAGGCTGTAATACCTGCATGAAAAGCCAAATCGCTCTCACTTCATCTTAATGCTTATGCCTCCTCAAAGCACTGAAAACATGTAATTTTCTTTGATTTAGGCAGAGGGAGAATAGAAACCACTGTCTTTTAATCTCCTTCTTACTCTGATCTCTGTTTTGGGTGACATTTTGTTTGGCAGTTAGCAAAAGGAGACATCCTTTAATGAGAGCTGAATCTAATATTATCTCTATTAATTCGAGGATGATGCTCAATCAAATAACAAATGTGAGGTGAAAATGTGACATTGCTTGGTTGTAAGATCATATTTCTCTAGAGAGAGGGGTGCATTAAAAAAGGGCAATTTAGCTTCAGATGCAATCTGTGTGATGTAGTATTAAACAGACTCTTCATTTCTTTCCCAATACCTTTATAGCTTTTTGCTGTAAAATCTGAAATGAAGTCTCTTGCTTTTTTCTTTTTTTTTCCTTCCTCTATTTTCTGTAATGATCCTCCAATTGGGAAAAGCAGCAGTGTGATATTATGTGCTTGCCGTACAGAGGCTGCACTGAATTCCGAGGTTTGGCTGAATGGTCAGGACTTTTCCTCTCAGAAGATAGGAGATCGATTGAGAGAGTGGGCAGCAGTACTTCTATGTTTTATGTATAGCTTATTACACAATAAAGATATGAAATGAAAGGCTTTAATACTCAAAGTAGTGCCTATAAATCTTTAAGTTATACACAATTTAACAAGTTATAAAAAAAAAAAAAAAACATTTATTTATTTAAGTTTTTATTATCAATTAGGTTCACCACAGTTTCTTCCAATATCAAACTTTCCGGAACTATCCAGGTTTATATATATATGTTAAAAAAAATAAAAACATTTAAAACGATTTAAAACTATTAAATGTCCTTAATGTGACCATTAGGTGGCAGCATTGACCTTTGGTATCCAGTTAACCAATTTAACCTGAGCTTCTGCAGCATTATAATACTAAGATCATGAGACTTGACAGCAAGTGATGTAACAGTTTATGTGTTTGGGTTTAGGTTTGCAGTATGAGGTTGGGGTTATTATTAAAACGCTGCTTTTCTTCTAACAGTCTGGTTTTACCAAATGGCTTTTTTCTGTGAAGGATTTCAGAGGATTCTGGGAAATCTCAGATCAGTTTAAAACAGTATAAACATTGTTATAGTTTATATGGGGAAAAGTGTAGAAAATGTACTTTTGGTTGTCGTCTCAAAAAAATGTTTTGTGTGCAACAATGTTTTTAACCAATCAAATTAAAAACATGCATTTTTTAAGGAGGCTTCTGGAATAACATGCAGAGTTTTAGCCTCCGTGTTGGTTATTTTATTAGAACAGGTATTCAGGACTCGCAAACATCATTAAAGCAAAAGTCTGAGTCCATTTTTTGAACCTCAGCTGAGCGTGATGCTGGATCTGGTTGTCATGGGAATTAAAAACAGCAGATTATCAGAGTTTATCTGATGTACTCAGCAGCTTGCAAATAGAAAGCTGACAGATGTTACACAAAACTCCAGGCTCATTTGTCATATTTATTGCTTTTTCAAACAAACCGTTATCATACAGAGATAATAGGACTCACAATATGTGTTTTATGAGGTTTCTTAGCGATGAAGACGGAATAAACATCTCAGCTCCTGAGGGTGAGGATGAAAAATCTAATTTCATAATAAAACGAACTGTATCTTTTGATAGTTCAATGTAGTGCAATTTTGTCAAGCAGAGTTTATGGAGATCCTGCTGAATTGATGAAAAGTGTATCGCATAAGACCAATGCAGAAGACCTAGTTTAATTATTTATTTAGTTAAACAATTAAAATGGTCTTTTGATGTGGCATTGCTTTTTCTTCAACAGGATGTGCTGAACAATCTGGGCTCCTCAGAACTGGATGAAGATGATCTCATGTTAGATCTGGACCTCTCAGATGATCAGAGGCATCGACATGGTAACTCCTTCCCCGTGGCGACATATTTTTTGAGTCGTATTAATGCCTTAGTAACAGAAGTCAGTTGTCAAGATATATTTTCACACTTCCTATCTTTATATTTTCCACATTTTCTCATACTTGCTTTAATTCCCTTTCGTTGCTCTCGTTTTCTACCTCTCTAGTTCTTCATTAAACTGCATCTATTCCACCATTTTAAAATATAAAACCAGTATTTTGACTACATAAGACACGCACCAGCAACTTAGATCCAACCAGCTCATTTGCAGCAATTTATCTCCTTTGTTGTTTTGGCATTTCAGTGCCGACATGCTTCGTGGTTGAAAAGTATCTGTCAGAGGAGAGTTATTTCTGTGTGGCAGTGACTGCCAAACTCCCAACTTCAGCTGCTTTTCATATAAAGAGTTCATTATCTCGCATAAGTACGATGAGCTGCTATAACCATAGACAATTATAAGCTCTAGAGTAACTTAAATAAATATCTCATTCATCAGATATGGTGAAGCTAAGTGATTCACTTTTTGCAACCATTAATGTTAATTATAGGAACACTGCAGTAAATGGGGCCATCAGTGAGCTATTGTAAATATTGCCACAACTGATTATGTTACTGATTAGCACCTAAAATCTTTGCTTTGTGAAAAGTTTTGTTTTGCCCCCTCAATGGAGTCAATTAATGTTTGGAATTTGAACACTTTCCAGTTTGTGTGCGTTACGTTTCTCAGAAGCTGCTCAGCTGCTGGTGAATCCAGTAAATTAAAGCTACTCAGCAAACTGTTCTATTACATCAATCAAAAGTCTCTTGAGATTTAGCTTGTCATCTATTGAAGCACTTTGCATATCTTTTTTTCCCCTCTTCTTTTTGTTTTGGAATTTAGTTGTAAAGTAATCAGTTCTCACAAGAATTAAAGAAACTTTCATGTACACAAGCCTCTGGTAACATCTTATAAGGTGGCATAGGTCCACTGATCACAACACTTTTGAGCTCATTTGTATAATTCTTTTTAGGGCTGGACAATAACTCCATATCAACATAAATCTCAATATAATGTTATTCCATAACAGAGATATTGTAATTTAACACATTTCTGGTATTTCGTGTATGCTGCAGTCTGTGGTTACGGCGTCTGTCACCGACTGATGCTCTGGGTGCAGGCGGTTTGAGCCGAACAGGAAGTGCTGCAGCTCATTGGCTACAATACGTTAGCGATAATGTACACCACAGACGGTTGCCCATGCTCTGCAGCTGTTGGTAGGGGTGCACCGATTGCAGTTTTAAAAAGCCTAAAAAAAAACAACGATTCCAATTTTCACTGATAACTGATTTCTTTTTTATAAGATTACAAGACACAAGGTATTTCAATTTCTATTTATTTATTTCTTATCTTACTAAAAAAAACATAAATCTTTGCCTTTAAAACAAACAAAAAAAAACCCTTCTAAAATAACTGCTCTGAAATAAAAATTAAAGTTTAAGGTATTGACAGTGGGCAATTTTTAGATCTTTACAGATGTAGATCAGATTGGTAGAAAAGACTGGTTTCACATCACTGATCTCACAATATTAGGAAAATCAAGGCCCCTAGCTGCAGGCTGTGCTAATCAGCTGCTCAGCTCTGATGTCGTAACTTTTAGCTATAAGTTGAGAGCCCACGCCAACATGACAAGTGTCCCACTTTTGAATGACCTGTACCCAGCAAATGCCTCCGACTTTAGCAGGAAAAAATATTGTTGTGTGTCGCCCATGTAGGAAGCATTTTGCTGGTAAACCTACAGCTGATTGGGGAGCTTAAAGTTGCAGTCAGGGGAGAAGAGCTGAGTGCAGCCTTTAAAATAGAGGAGAGCACAAGCTTTACCTCACCAACACAGAATCGTCTAGTGACATTATGGGATGTGTGAATTGATTAGTTTTGTTATGACTGAGCTAGAGGTTGGAGATGTGGAGTCACCAAGCCATCTCCCTGCCATGTATTTGTTCTGTCTGCCTGCTGAACCAGGTGAGTCCAATCTGTACAGTGAATTAAATTGTGCAGATTGGACTCACCTGGTTCAGTAGCTAAGCAGAACAAATGCATAGCATGGAGATGACTTGGTGACTCTACATGTCAAACCTCTGGACTGAGCTGATACCTGCTGAGATAAAGGTTTGGTTCAAACGTTACTAGCATTGTCTTTGTTCAAAAAAGGGCTCATTCTGTTCTGTTTTTACTAAAGTTGAGAATTGAAAAAGGGTTTTTACTAACAAACAGAACACGATAAAACAATACTATAGTATGGGTTATGACTAAGATAGAAGGGGAGAAAAATTAAGAGTACTTATTGTAAAGTGCTACCTACAAAGTCATTAAGGGTTTATCAAAAGTTATTGTTTTTGGTGAATTAACTGGGGGAATAGATTGTATTTTCAGAGCAAGTTATTTGCTGTTTTGCTAATTAAAGTAATTAGTGAACACAGTCTTTTAGGCTTAGGTACCTTTGCCTTTTTGAACAATTGAAAGAAAATCACAAAAAAATAATGGAGGCAATGTGAAGGGGAAGCATGAATGCATGGATTGGGGAATATGAGGAGGGAGAGATGATCACCTGGATAAATGTGCATTTCATCTGCCTAGCTTGTAGCTCCAAGAAGTAGCTTTAGATGTAGATTTTCTTTAAACAACAATTTCAAAAAGGTTATATTGAAGGGATTTCATAGACATAGAATAATTTTGAGAAGTTTGTACAGGAATCTGTTGTTGCTTTTCTTGGTAGAATCTCTGAGGCTTTCAAATAACAATCGTATGGACTGAAAATAAGAACTATTTCATGCTATAATTTTTGGCCATATAGTCCAGTCTACTATTATTTTTTATACCATTCATCCTTCATAGATATCCATCAACCTTTATTAGTCAAATGAGTTATAACCTGGTATTGATAATCCTTCTAAATGTTTCTGGAAATTTTGGTTTAGTCATTTTTAATACAAATATTAAATAGAGCTCATTCTGAGCTATTTTTTAACAATTTTTTTCTCCTGAGGGAACGCATGAGAATTTGACTGGTGTGTTTGCACTTTTATGTGGATGCACCGTTAGCAGCATTAGCTGTTTGCAATGATTCACTTTTCATTGTTTCTCCAATCTCTTACAAAAGCAGCATTACTTAACTACTGCCTGCAGGAGAGTCCCTGCTTTTTCAAATCATCCCTGGTAGAATAAAGGTGGTCATGATGAAAGCAAGGGGGACTTAAAGTATCCTATTAGTACCCTTCCATGAATGACGTAAATTATAGAGGACCATTGTTTGTCTGACCTTATGGGCTTTTTTGGTTTAAACAAGGAGCCCACACAAACAAACTCAAGCTACTTTCACATTATGGATTGTTTCAGCTGGTTTTAACTAAAGCCTAGAACTTACACACACGTTTGTACATGGAAAAAGTCAGATTTACAGGTGATGATTCCTTTAAAATTCTAAGGAAGAGTGTCATCCCTGTCACTGTTTGCTTTAGTTTTACGTTTCCTGTTTCCATGGCTTTTAAAGTAACCTATGAGTCAGGGCTTGGTTCAAACAGATAAGGTTAATCACCTTTCAACTTAAAAGTTAATCAGTACCTTAGAATCCATTTGGAGCTCATTTTGCCCTCAGAATTATTTTGTTTTTGTGGTAATAATGCTATCGGGTGTGGAAGACATTCTTCCAAGATGCTGGCCCATAATCTCCTCATTCCTGCAGTCACTCTGCTGCACTTGCATGATGCAAATCTCCTGTTACATCGTAAATGTGCTCTATTGGACTGAGATCTGGCAGCCATAAAGGCTGTAGCACTTTAAGATAGCTGAACTTTTTGACATGTACATTTTTCTGGAGGAAGTAGCCATAAAAAAACTATAGTGATTAAATGACAGGAAGGGTTAGCAACAAGACTCAGGCTGTGATGTTTATACGATGCTCAGGATGTGTGCTTAGAAAATACTACCAGCCTGAACTGCTGAAACAAATAGGCACATGTCTTTCATGCAGTTAATGCCAAAATGCCAAATGCAGTCAAAATGAGGACACTTCTGACAAAAGCAACACTTTCCAGCCTGATCTTAGCTGTCATTTGTGACAATCCAGTTGGGTCTTCTACTGCTGTTGCCTACCTGCCTTTTTAGTTTAATATGTTGTTTAGTCAGAGGTAGTATTCCACATACTTTGGATGTAATCATGATAATTTAATCAACTTTCTTATTTAAAGAAAAGTTTTTCATAAAAATATTTTTATTTTTAGAAGCACTCACGCCCTGACAACCTTGCTTCATTCAATCCCATTTCATCAGATTTTTGATGCTTACTTTAAACACATGAAATGTTTTCACCACCTCAGGATGCTCAAATGAGTTGCTGCAAAATGTTTTCCTGACTCAGTAGTTGGCTAACTGTAAGTACATGTGAAAGGTGACTAAAGTTGTCTGCTGGTCAGGTGGATTCTTGTGCCACTTGAGAGGTCAGTGACAGAAAACAAATTTCGCTGGAAAGTATTTTTAAATGTTTAACAAACTATTAGAGATTAAAACAAACAAAAAAAATAACTTCAGCTTCGTTAAACCAAATTGCGACACTTCCCTGTATATTCTCCTGGACTTGCTGGGTTTTTTGGGCTCAGCCTTTGTGCACTCGCACCAAATATTCACACGTACACAAATAATGAAGGCGTCTCTACAGGCCCCGGCTGATACAGAGCTAAACCAGGCATCGTCATTAATACATACTAGCACACAAGCGTGGATGCTTAGTCATTAGACCTAATGGTTTGCAGAGTGTAGCATGAAATTAAAGGTTTGATGAATTGTTCTCATAAAGTCAAGGGACTAAGATTTTGTGCTTGCTATAAAAGACGAGGGTTCTTCTACATAATCAAAGTGAGTCATTTGAAGACACACACATACGCATGGCTTTCAGGTGGTGGTATACACAGCCCCAAACGCGTGCAGAGGCTATAAACACACAAATGAATACACACCTGTCCCATAGGTCTGCACACACCTACACACTCTTATTGGTGCTTCACATTTTTACCTCTCTCCTGTGGCCTGTTAAGGGCCTTTATTAAAAAGAAAGCTGTTTCCCTGCAATTTATGGGCAACTGAGTTCAGCAGCTGTGGACAGACAGATGGACCTCCACAAAGACTGGATGAAATGCAAACTCTTGTACTTTTGCTCTAATTAACTTTTTTTTATTTTTTTTTTTACTATGGCCAACAATAGAGCACTGGATCTTTTTAACATTGAGTGTAATTAGAAAGTTGTGAATGTTTCACAGTCGGGTTGTTTATTTACCTCACTGATAAGTACAAGGTATTATATAGAAATTAAATGATTGTTTGTGTTTCTCTTAATAGTGTCGAGAGAAGACTCGAGCAAGTCCCTGACATCCTGCCCGAACTTGCTTCCTTCCCCTTTGGATCCACCAGCAGATCGCTTTGCAGGGAGAGAAAACATTCAGAGGTAAATTTATGTGTAGTGGGAAAATAAAAAATACAACAGCCTGCTTTGCATATTCCCTACAGTTGCAGATAAATAAAAAAGTACCATGTTTTCGAAACTTTGAAAGTACTGCTAGTGTAGATAGTTTGAACAGAAATGTTTTGCATTTTTGGAGGGCAAACGCAGTAGTTGCAAAAAAATAAAATAAGGTTCACAAAACAGCTTCAACAGTACAGAAAATAAAGTGAGGGCGCCTTTGATATAAGTAATTGCATGAATGGGTTTTATTTATTTTATTCACTAATACTCAGAGTGCAGTGACTCTCTAACTTACTCTAAATTATTTGACATTTTCCCCCATAAACAATCACTTCCATCCATATTATAACTTACAAAAAAAGAAATAAAACTATTATTGCATACATGTGCATTAATTTCATTGATTGAATAGTTTGGAGATCCACCTTTCACTGCAATTCCAGCTGTTTTGGGGCTATGACTCAACTAGCTTTGTAGAGAGAATGAAAATTTTTTTCTACAAATGAACATCCTGGAACATGAAGTTTCACCTCTGTCTTAAGTAAGATATCTTAGTAGGTTGTCTTTGTGGTTTTACTGTATTTAGGTCCAACTATTAGCTTTGACAAGGTTCTCTGTCCTCTGCCCAGGAAAACCCTGCTCTTTGTCACCTCTGTTTAATGGCGGCCATGTTCTGTTAAGACTATAAGTATTCTACTAGACATTATGTTTTCCATGTTAGCCAAAAATGCTTCAAAACTGGTCCTATCTGCCCGGACCTTCTCTACATGTTTTCTGTGTATCCAATATGGCTTGTCACCAACCTCAGAGTGGAGTTCCTTTGGCTGTTTTAACCTAATTTAACATAATCATTTTTAGATGATGGATCAAACAGTGCTGGGTGGGATTTTCAAAGTTTAGGTTTTGCATGGGTTTGGTTTTACTAGAGCTGTGTGTGTATATTTGTAGAGACCTCTGATATAGTGCATTTATTGACCAAATGTAACGGATTACACTGAAATGCATTAACACTGGACGGTTCGGGTCATTTTGTCTTCAGACCAAAAGGTACCCAGAGAAGGGACAAAATGCAAAAGACAATTAATCACTTTGGTATCAAGTGGCGCCTGTGCCAACATGATTAAAAAAGGGTGAGATGGGGAGATGGTCAGTAGCAGAATTAGGTCGCTTGACAATTTATGTCTGACAAATAATTGTGTTACCTCCAGGATTAACAGTCCTGAACAGTATTAGGTTCATGGCATAGTAGAACAATAGCCACAGACACAAAAAGAGGAGAGAAACGGGCCACGGTCTGGTGTTGGCTGATAAAGCTCTGCATCCAGCTGGTGCATACTGTATGTAAGGATGAAGTAGATCTATTACACATGTACCACCTACCGGGCAATTATCCTCTGTAAAATACAGCTTCATCTCTGAAGAGCTGGAAAACAATTGTAATTATTACTTTTTAACTTACTTAGGAGAAAGAAAGGAAGTGTATTGCTTTTTTTCCCAGAAAACTCCTGTTCCTCTGATTCGCATAAACACCTTAATGCTTAATGCTTCTTCACCTCCTTTGAGATGAAACAGAAAGGTGAAGGCTGGATGAATAAATAAAATCTCCCATAAATATGCAGTTTCTCTCAACTCTCATCCATTTCCTTCTTCATAAAGACAAAGGTTAGAGTCTTAAAGGGAACATTTGGGTTTTCTGTTTGTACATATAAATGCCACTGTCCGAGACTGTCTCTTTTGTATGTGATTTGATTTGGCCACTTACCTTCTCTCAGTGCTTGAGTCTGGATGCATCTGGTTCATAACACACAGTGGCTTTTCTCCAAGCCTGCGCACATACAGAGGGAGCTGTTCTGTGGATGAGACTTATTTGGTTTTATGGAGCCAGTGGGTAATAAAGGGTTGTATCACCAGTAGTGTCTGGTGGTCTATTTGACGAGCCTGCACTGATTATTACTTTACCTTTCATTGTTCTTTTCACTGCTTGCTAGTTGAATTTCTTTTATTCCTATTGGCATCCATTCAGTAAATACACCCTGACTGTTGAAACATGCTTTCTTTACTGTCAAAGATTGTCTTTCTTTTTCAGGGAGGCAGCGTAGGTCAACCTGTGAGAATGGATTTAAGTACATTTTAAAAGATTTATACTGAATACTGAGACCCTGGACAAACGAGAGCTTCTTCTTTCTGATTTTTGTTTGTAATTCTAGGAAATCTCAGTGAACACAGTTATTTCTGTGTCTAGACAGTTTCAGTGAATCACGTAGGCAACATTTTCAACCCACCTAAGGTATTTTTTCGAGACCTTCATTTGTTGCTTTATTTATCCTGATGCCTCACTTGTCTTAAAAAGCAGCTACAGCGATACATTTTTGCCCACAAATACATTTTCTGCTTTCATACTAGATCAAGTCTGAAATAGCAGTCAGCTAAAACCAGTTTATTTTTTCAGCTCGACTTTGCTTAACTTTATCTGTGCAAGGGAGAGGTACTATAGACTTTTATAATGATTAAAAAGATTTTGAGCTATAAATATATAAGAGTAGATTACCATAAACACAAAGCAGATTTAAAAATAGTAATTATTAATAAATTTAATTATAAGTTATAATTTATTCTAAGTTATTTAACAGGAAATCAAATCATAATCTTCTTGATAAATCATTTTCTAACTATAAAGCATGTCTAATGTTTAACTACCATTCAGCAAACCTAAGATACTAAACTTTTTGTTTACTAATATTCTGTTACTAAAAGTAAAGCTGTGCTGTACCTGGAAAACAACAGAAACCAAATATTTTTATCTACATCTCTAGTGAAAGCAACATTTTGGAGTTTCTTGCGAGGTTTGAAACGAATTGAGAAGCAATTTACTGAATCTTTTCAAATAACAGCACAATAAGAACAAAGATGTTTCCCTTCCTGCCAGCCATCAGCAGAGAAGGATCTGTTTCCTTCAAAAATGTAACTTTAATCCTGCTCATGTCAGACATGTTCAAAGTCCAACTCGAGTTTCAAAAATATAATGACTGAAATGAGTGGGTGTTAACTGGGTGCACGCTGTACAGTCTGCCTTTAACGTTACATTTCTGTAGTTTATTGACTTCAGATTGTGCGATCTTCCCTCATTTTTTGTCCTAAAAACATCTTCATTCAAGACTGGAACATGTAAAATAAAATTTTCCCACTAGAATTTAAATGTATATTTGTGTTTTCTAAAAATCTAGTGGAAATAGGTCAGTATCCATTAATTTGTGATTTCTGATCAAATAAGAAGTCCCCCCTTTTTGAAGAACCATTACTGTTCTTGTTATGGTTTGTGACACCAGTCACTCCCTATGTCCGTTCTTCTATTTCAGTTTTTTGATTGTTATGTTTTAGGCTATAATTAGGAAACTTTTTTTATACCCAAGGTTCCAGTCTGACTTGTGAGTAACTGGTAGAAAATTACACATTTCTTTATAACTTTAACATCAAGAGTAAGCCAGAAATAATTTTTGTTTTGTTTGCTAATTATGCTAGTGTGACTAAAATGATTAAGGTAATTTTATTTTGAACTTACAAAGTCATTTTAGAGAGGATTCACTTGTAAGAAAAAACCCCTACAATTACAAGTACCAGCTGATATAAACTATTATTAGTTCATAGTCTTATGTCAGAGTCTATGATACACTTTTAATCTATCTTTCATTCCAGATTATGTGATTCAGACGTTATTAACGAAGCTTCAGTCCCAGACCAAATATTGAACCTTTGGAATCTGAATCCAGGTCAGATTTTGAATCTTAAAGGGATCCATAATTAGTTGTAGTGGATTTTTATTGCTATATTTATTTGAGAAATATTTATTGTCAATGTAAATACAATACAGCAAAACCACTGTTAGCTTTTTATTTCAAATAAATTTAAATTACTGTCAGATGGATGTTGCCATGTTGTTTATTTTGCGGTGCATTCTGGGTAAATTAAGTATGCTTTCCTGTACGCTTAGCTCTTTCCATCCAAATCAGCGGTGAGTAATGTAAAACCTTTTCAGTTTGAACAAGAGGGCATTGAAATTGATTAGAATGTAAAAATTACAAGAGGTAAAGACAATGAGGAAGATCAAATTTAGAAATAGGGAAGGTGAGGAGGTGTTCTCATACAGGACTTGGCCCTCAGCATTCTGTGATGGATGATTTCCAAAGAACGGAAAAAAACTATCAAAACAGAAAAACACAATGTTGTTCTGGAAAATATATAAGCCTAGAAAAATATATGTAAAAAATCCCTTCTGTATATAAGCTATTTGGCCAGAACAATTGGATTTGTAAGCATAAAGTTCAAGTTTGATCTACAATATTAAGATTCTTGGCTGGATCCCAACTGTTTGCTCAGATTTATCTTTATTTAATCCTTTTGGAACTGCAGCAGTTGTGCCATGGCTGCATGGATGAGAAGAGGTAATTCATTATTTCCTAATATACCTTAATTAGAATTAATAAAATGATATTGTTGTTTACATTTCCTTTGAGATTTCCAAAATAACTAAAAGTCTTAAATAAGCCAAACATTTGATGTTATCTGAGCAAGTAATATTTTTAAATTCCATTAAGTAGTTAAAAGAGAACACAAAGGGCCCGGAGCCCACATGACGCCCATGAGAGGGAGGGAAGATCTCCTGGTCAGATGACAGCAGCTGGGGTTGAGCTGGCACTGAGAAATGCCGAACCTCTCTTTTTAAACCATGTGGAATCTTAATCTATTATAGTTTTTTTTAAAGTCAAGTATTTCAATTTAACAAACATAAATTCTTATCTCAAATCACCTTCAAAGTTTGTTTTGGTCACAGAAAGCATATTCTTTTAATTTTCATTCACAGTTCTTGCCACGGTCGTCTGCCATTGCTGCCCGAGCTGGATCAATAGGCTTCGACCCGCACTGAATCATGGGAAATGCAATTAAGGCTACCCTGGATGTATCCCTCAAATCAGCCAAAAAACAGG